GCTAGTGGTAACGTTAGTCTGTGATGTATAGAGGTTGCGCTGCACGTGGTGCAGGACAGTGATTTAAACTGTGTGTTGGCAGGTGAGTGCGGACTCGACCCTCAGCGACTCAGTGCGTGTGAAGGCTCTGTCCTGCATCGCCTTTCTTATCAGGCTGAAGAGCAAGGTAACTCGCTCCCACAGTTTCATCCTGTCACCGTCTCCTCATCTGCCTCAGTGCAGTGTTAACGACGAGCTGGCAATAACTCCCCCCCTCCGGTCCTTGCGCTCCCCAGACCGTGCTGAAGCAGAAACTGCTGGCCCCGATCCTGCAGACCGTGTTCCCCGTGCTGAGCGCGGCGCCCCCTCCTGGCCAGGAGGACCCCGAGGACGAGGAGCATGACAATGAGGAGCTGGGGGAAGAGAGCGAGACGCCCAAACACTACGCCGCCCAGGTACGGGGGTCTGTTCCACGGTCGCCGGCGGCCTGGTCTGAAATCAGGATCGGTGACAAATACAGGCCGGCCAGTAGCCGCGGTGCTCTGCTACGGCAGTGACCGCTAGTCCCTGCTGGAGTGTCTGACCGCCTGCCTCACTCGATATCTCTGTCCGCAGGTCATCGACACCCTCGCTCTCCACCTGCCTCCCGAGAAGCTCTTCGGCCAGCTGGTCAGTGCACGCGTCCGCCGTCGCTCCGCCCGCCACGGCCGGCTGTCCGCGCGCTAACCCCGCCCCTCCCCTCTGCCCCCAGACTCCCCTGACGCAGGCGGCTCTGGTCAGCGAGAACCCATACCAGAGGAAGGCCGGCCTGATGTGCCTGGCCGTGCTGGCGGAGGGCTGCGCCGACCACATCCGCACCAAGTGAGGCTCCGCTCGCCAGCGGGTTTCCCGTCGGATCACGATCCGTACCCCTCTCCCGGCTCCCGGGAACGGGGGTAAAATGTGAAAGGGATCTCCAGTGACCGGCTGCGATTTCCGGCAGCAGGAGTTTGTTGTTTGAGAGCCCACAGCTGGTAAGACCTGGAGTGACCAGGCCTGTTCCTCGCTGTGGGTCTCGTGCCCACTGTCACCAACCTGGTGCCCCGTGAGAGAAAATCAAATAAGAAGTGAGGTTTCTTGACTGAAAAAACTACCATTTCCACAGTGACGATCCAGCAGTTTTCATTATTCTAATTGACGTAATGTTTTGGTCCTGCTGCACGAGTCGGACCCCAGCTGTGTGGGTGGGGAGGTGCAGGGACACTGTGGTGGTGAATTTGGGCAGGAGGTAGAATAAAACCCTTCTGCTTTCCTTGTATCTCTGTATCTCCTCCTTCTGCGGCTGAGTAGAGGGGCTTGGACTCCTCCGATTGTCGCGGGAAGCTGTCCAAGCCGCCGGCAGGCCTGGCGTTCCTGTGCGGGAGGCACGCTCCTCTTTCTTCTTGAAAGCGCACTGTCCGCAGTAACCCCCCCGTCTCTC